AGTGGTATAGTGTTTGCATGCATAAGTGCATTCTGACAATATTAATTCGCGTTGACGTGTTGCTTTGTGCCATTTGATTTAACTCGGAGATATTTTCCAGTGTCGGTTAAAACCGCTAAACTTTGTGACCCGCGAGAACCAGCGTTCATATTAGATTATAGATTTGTACTAAGCAACGCTAGACTTTGAGTGACACCGAGTGACGCCGCTGTAGTGATACCACATATGGTGGCGGTGCTGGAGCCAGGGTTGCTGCTGATTAAAAAGGGCTAATTCAGGTTAAACATGTATACACTTCTCACACACTACTTACATTCACTACACCTAACGCTTGAACGAGCCTGGTGGTCCGTCTTCGCTTCTGAACCAGGTAAGTCGCATTAAGTACTTAATCCATATATATTAAATATCCATAGGCATTTAAGCCCCACACTTAGTTGTCCGTCGAATCTACAGCTGTATGGGCCCCTGTATAGTCGACCTTAGTCTGGGCAACTAGATGCGTGTACAGGCACACTGAACCGAAACGTTAAGTTGGAGAGGTCTCGTCTATATGAAGTCAACGCTCCGTCCAAAGTCGTCGTGCTCTGTTCGAAAGTCCCGAAACTTTCAGCTCGAGCTACAAAACCGTTTCCAGTGCCCAGAAGACTGAAATGAAGTGGACGATATGAATGACAAGCTCGTGGAAACTGTCCATGCGGTCGGAGCTAAGTTCTGCAAGACCTGCCGCAGAAGAACACAAAAACTCTCCAATCACACTCTTAATCTCATGGCTGTTAGATGGGAGATGAATCTACATTCTTCAACAGATTCGACAGCATACAGGCGACTGAACAGACAGATCTCCAAATGCATGCGGCGGGACTTACGCAACTTCAATACAGCTCGTATTGAAGAAGCGATCGAGCGGAACCAAGGCTCCAAAGTCTTTGCCAGAGATCTGTCTGCCAGAAAGAGCCAACTGTCGAAGCTGAAGACCGAGTGTGGCAGCACCGTTTCCAGGGCACCTGAGATTTTGAGTGAGATTGAGAGGTTCTCTGGGCAGCTGTACACGTCATCGTTGGAGCCACACGCAAGTGTGAGTAACGATCCAAGAGCGAGTCTTATCCGACACTATTCCGAAGATATCCCGGACGTCAGTCTGAGCGAGATTAGAATGGCTCTCCAGCATCTTAAAAACGGTAAGGCCCCAGGCGAGGATGGAATTACAGCGGAGCTTCTGAAAGCGGGTGGAAAACCGGTACTTGAAGTCCTTCAGAAGCTCTTTAATTCCGTCCTCCATGGTGGCATTACACCGGAGGCGTGGAGCAGAAGTGCGGTGGTCTTGTTCTTCAAGAAAGGTGACAACGCTCTCTTGAAGAACTACACACCGATTTACCCTCTGAGGCGCGTCTACGTGCTGTTTTCGAGAGTAATTACAAATCGTCTCGCGCGCAAACTTGACGACTTCCAGCCTCCCGAACAAGCCGGTTTCCGAAAGGGCTTTAGCACCATAGACCACATACATACCCTTCGGCAAATTGTACAGAAGTCTGAGGAGTACAATTTGCTACTATATCTGGCGTATGTGGACTATGAGAAAGCCTTTGATTCCTTCGAAATTTGGGTGGTGCTGCAGTTCCTTCAGCGGTGCCAAGTTGACTGTCGGTATATCGAAGTGCTGAAGTGTTTGTACAGTAGAGCTACGATGACTATCCGAGTACAGAACCAGAGTACGAAACCTATCCAATTGCAGAGACGTGTAAGACAGGCTGATGTTATATCCCCGAAACTCTGCACCGCTGCATTGGAAGACATTTTGAAGCTTCTGGACTGGAAAGAATACGGTATTAACATCAATGGCGAGTACATCACTCACCTTCGATTTGCCGACGATATAGTCCTTATGGCAGAATCGCTGGAGGACCTAAGCACCATGCTCAATGACCTCAATAGTGTCTCCCAACGAATAGGTCTTAGGATGAACATGGACAAAACGAAGATCATGTTTAATGTCCATGTCACACCTATGCCGGTAGATGTTGGGAGCACTAAGCTCGAAGTTGTTGACGAGTATGTTTACCTGGGACAAATAGTCCGACTAGGTAAGTCCAACTTCGACCGAGAGGTCAATCGACGGATTCAACTCGGCTGGGCAGCGTTCGGGTAACTACGACACATCTTCTCGTCAGACATACCTCAAAACCTTAAAACGAAATTGTACAACCAGTGCGTGTTGCCAGTGATGACTTACGGAACTGAGACGTGGTCCTTCACTGCCAGTCGTATGAGGAAGCTCAAGGTCGCTCAGCGAGCTATGGAGAGGGCTATGCTCGGGGTTACTCTGCGTGATAAACTTAGAAATGAGTATATCTGCAGTAGAACCAGAGTAACCGACATAGCCCAACGGATTAGTAAGCTGAAGTGGCAATGGACCGGCCATATAGCTCGAAGAACCGAAAACCGATGGGGAAGAAAGGTTCTTGAGTGGCAGCCTCGTACCGGTAGGTGAAGTGTAGGGCGACCCCCCACGAGATGGAGTGACGACCTGGTAAGACATGCAGGAAGTTAATGGATGCAGGTGGCTCAGGACCGTGCTTTGTGGCATTCCTTGGGGGAGGCCTATGTTCAGCAGTGGACTTATGAAAGGCTGTAATGATGATGATGAATGATGAAAAATAACTAAAAATATTAAAAAATATCATTTTCATTCTACTACGATACTATTAAAGTAATAATCATCATCTCTTAAAAATAATTATTTTAATTTCTTTTTTAAGCTTGTTTCTTTGTTGTTACAGTTTTTTTTCATCAGTTTATCAATGCCTGGATTTTCCATTAGTAATTTCTTATTCATTCTTGAGTTCTCGACTTCAGCTGTAGAAAATATTTTTTTTAATATTTCTCTTTCTTTTCTTCATCTGGTTGTGTTGAATGTTTTTAGAATAGCTAAGCTTACTAAAACTTTGTACTTGTATTGTATTATTTCTTGTACTTCTCGTATTTTCTTTCCAGTTTTTCAGCTTTTCGGTTTCTTCTTTTAGTTTCTTATTTACCCTGTAAACTTTGGTCCTATCATTTTTCACTTTCCGTCTTCCACGTGCTTTTGCAGATTGTGATTTTGGTGTAACACACGGAGTCGTTTCTAATGCAACGATAGCTGATGGTGTATTTGGCGGTAGGAGAGATGTTGTTCGTGGAATTTCTAATGCATCGATAGCTGGTGGTATATTAGGCAGTAGTGGAGGTGTGATTCGTGGAATGTCTTTGTCTTGAAGAGCAAAATTTTCTAGGCTAGAATCAGGTCGTGGTGAATCTGAAGGCGTTTGGATAGCTTGTATAGCTGTTTCTGACTTTTTCTTACGTTCTTTTGTCTGCCTTTACCTTCATTTCCAAACAATTCTAGCGTTATATTTTTCTTTTGGTGTCAGATCTTCTACCACTCTTTTGGTGTAATGATATCTTCTACTTTGTTTTTTTTTTTTGCTAACTCATACTTTTCTGGATTATTCTTTAATCTCTACCTATATCTTTTTTGTTTTTCTATCGATGTGAGACCCATTTCTAGTTTTAACGGCACCTGAATAAAATAAATTAAACTGTACTCAAGTATACTTTTCTTAAATTGATTTTTTGAATTAAATGAAGTAATAAACTATAAATAATCAAAGTTTCCATATTAAACAGTTGTAATTCTATCTATCCGATAACAATTTTAACACATTTTCGGTATTGATTAGATGCGCCACGTGTATTACGGTAACGCATCAGAAATATTCTCTTGCGTTACTAGTAATATTCTCTGATGTTACCGGTAACGCAAGGGAAAAAAAATTAAGAAAAGATGAAATTAACGACTCAAATATCAACAAGTCTACAAACTTGTGTTTTGACCTTGAATTTAGATCGAAACTCAATGGTGACAAGTAAATTAAATCAAAATATCTGTTATACTTACGCAGAATCATGTGGTAACGTAGCAGAAACACAATAAACCCACACACCCTCTCCAAGCGCTTTCCGCGTACTGACCGGCGGCTCGAGAAAAGTTCCCCTCTATCGATGTTACCAACGAATTCTTAGACACAAAACAATAGCTGTGGAGAGTTGTGCGCCATCGCTCAGATCGAGTATGAACTACTTAGACTAGTAACTTAGAAGAACGGTAATGTGAAATAGTTTTTTGGACAAAGATTACAATATTTTTATAAATTACATTATTTATAATGAAATCGTAATTATATTGTTATAGTGAAGTTTAATTAATTGTAGTTAAAAACATGTACAAATTAAACAGTGTTCTCTTACAAAAAAAATTAATCACTTTAAGAATTTATAGAGTAACCTACGTTTAGGGACAAACACGTTTTGTATGGGCGACGGTTTTTGTCTACAGCGTTACTATAAAAAAGTATTTTTGTTTATTTTATCTACCAAAGTAAATTACTTTAGTAGAAGTAAAATATGTCAAATTTTATAATAAGGTTTAGAAATTCTTGATTTTAAATGAATCGTCGTCATTATTTCCAAGTTCACTATGGGAGGTTAAAAGTTGATTCACCCTTAAACACCTTTGTCAAAGTTTGTCATCAGATCTTTGAGATATTTTGGCGCTTGTCTGTTGCTCTTTACGCATGTGCACTATTATTGGATATTGGAAACAATGTAATAAGTACTTCGAAAGCGAATAAAAATCTTAAGTTTTTTATTCGCTTTGATGCCTTGAATAAACTACCCAGTTCAGCCATCGACAAAATCTTTCAAGGACTTCACAATTTGACCCAACATTATAATAATAAAATAAACAAAATACACGGCGCATAGACGGTATGGTCTATGACCTTTGCGTTCCATAATTGGAGAATCAACTATAATTAACTCTCACTGTCACTTTGCTGTCAATGTCACCTCTTATGTCATTTATCATTTGTGAGGGTTTCTTGAAATAAATGTAAATATAATAAAGAATAAAAATTACAAATATAAATTTAATACAGTAAATTACCAATATATCTAATAAAATGTTTAGTTTGTCTGTTGTGAAACAGTTTTCAAGGTTTGCATATTTTAAAAATCACATACATAACCTCTCAGGTGTGATTTTTTTTTTAATTTTTTTCCTAATAAGTGGTAATTTTCAGATTAGCAATATCTTCTTCATCTACGATCGGGATAAACTCCAGAAATATTTTTACTGCTGCAGCTTTGCAATTTAGAATAACCGATCAACTATGGTAAGATAGTTTGGACAGATATGAATATTTATGGTAAAATGTTTTATTATAAATTTCCATCCATTACAACCTATAAAAGTACACTGGCGAACGTAGGCCTGTCCTGTAGATTACCTCATAGAGGGGATTTAGCCATAGTTGCCACGCTCGGCATGCGGGTTGGCAACTACATTTTTTATTATTTTGAGTTGTTATCAGGAAGATGCTGCTGTCCATCTCCTATTTCAGTTTCCCTCTGTCGCGTATTACGACAACCACGGGACAGTATGGGGTAGTGTATATTCTTTCACCGCTACTATACGGTTTTATAAATTTACTTGTATTTAATTTAAATGGGCCTGTAGTAATTGTATTCAAAAATTTATTTATTGGTTGTTAGGGCTGAGCCACTGAAGAAAAAGAAGAAAATGGATCCAGCTATTATCAAAGCTCGTGAGGACAGACGTCGCAAGAAATTAGAAAAACAAATAAGAAGACTTGAAAAGAATGCAAGGCAGCTTAAGCCAATTGATGAAGTAGAGGCCCCATTGCACCTCATTGATCAGATGGGGTAACGTTATGTTAGTTTTAAATTCATATTTAAGTGAAAATGGATCTATGCCTCCACTAGAGGAAATGACTATCCTTTCTTGTAAAAAGTAGTAAATTTGCACATGTAAGTTTCTGGGCTACATTTTACAGGTAACAATTTATGAGCAATATCATTTGATATTAACATTTTAAAAATTCTCCTAACTTCTGGGAATAGCTAGATGTATTTTTTTGGAGTTCAGCCGGAATAAACAGACAGATAGACAAATTAAAAAATCTTTTAATATAGGCTAAACAAAGATGTGTAAATAAATAAAAAAATTTGATAATCAAATCCCTTTTTTGTATATAGAACATTGTGGATCACATTTGACCTTCACATTCATAGTAATTTTTTTGGGTAAGTGCCAACTGGACATTTGCAAACTTCAAATAGAGGTTACAGATTAATTTTTAACCGATTTCAAAAAGGAGGAGGACTTAATTCGACTGTATTTATTTATGTGTGTTAGTTACCTCATAAATTTTTTCTAGGTGAACCGATTTTGATTATTCTTTTTTTATTTGAAAATGTGGTCCTATATAAATTTGCTCAATCGCTGACCAGTTGTTTTTGAGTTATCCTTAATTTATATTGAAGTTGGTTGTAAAAAAAAAATTTATCCCTTGATATATCTGAGGACTGAAACCAATAAATCAAAATAGGAGAATATTGTTACCGCAAAGACTTAAATAGAATGCCTTGTTTAGCATTCTAATCTATTCATTGTTTACAAGCCACAACCTACATTCAGTTGTTGTTAGATACTTTTTTTAATAATATACTTTCTTATAATTTTTTGTTTATAACTTAATTAAATCATAATCTACTTGTACCTTTTTTATTTATTCGTTTAGAAATAAAACTAGGGCTTATATGTTTAATACTGTAGAGATGTTTACAGGATTTTTTTTACAATTTATGCTTTTGTTAATTATTTGAGCATGACTTCTAAGCAAATAATATATTAAAATGAACATAGATTTTAATTTTTTTAGAGTTATTAATCAGTATAGTTCAGCCATTCTAACAATGAGTGTACCTACATATATTTAATTTATAATATCATCATCAGCATTTGTAAGTCCACAACTATGTATGTATAAAGATTTGTAAGACTGCGTTAGATTCACATTACTGTGGATATAGTCCATAACTTAATTTGCTGAGATGCCAAGTTGGATACCCCTTGTACTGGTAATGCATTTTCTTCATTCAGTCATTTGTCAGAGCCTGGCATTTTGAAAAAGCAAAGCACATGCACATAAGGTTTGTTGTCTACATAATATTATTATAAGGTAAATTAATAATACGCAAATTTTATTCCAGAAAAAGAAAAAGAACTCCTGTTCAGCTTTCTCCAGAAGAAGTGGAGGCTCGAGCATTATTGCAAAAGGACTGGGCTCGTTACAAGCGGGAGGAGTATATGGCGAATGTTGCACAGATTGACAGAATCATGGCAGCGCAAAGGCGTGCACTTGACATGCTTTATGAAGAATCTGAAGAGTTGTACGATGAGGCTATAATGGTTAGATTGGGAACAGTATTTTCTAAAAATGTTATTAACTTCCCGATAGCTATATATAACCCCTATAACATATCTCCACAACTTGTAGAGTCCAATTCTAATGTCAATTGAATATAGTGAATGAGGTGGTTATTATGTCACCATTTGTCAAAAGCTATAAGATTTTTAGTAATTTGTTTCTTCTGTAATACCCACAGGGCAGATCGGGTATGTGAATCTTATACGTCGCCACCACATGGCCAACATTATAAAGCCATAATTTTGTACTAAATAATTTACATATTAGTCCACATGATGGTGAGTGAACACTGTGGCACATGGGCAAGAATATCTATCATCGATTATGAATCAAGTTGCAAATGCGTTGTTACTCCTGAGTATTAAGATGGAATGTCTTGTTCCCAGTTAAAGTATTCAATACACATGCAATGCATATTGAAATACATTTATCGTATACTGTAACAATTATACCGTATTGTAACATCACATAAATATCAGTTGTGATTGTCTTCGTGTTTTTGACATTGAATCTAGACCTACCTCCAATCTAATCTATAAATTCGATACTAGCGTATACACCAGTGACTCCATCGCATGACCTGCAGTTTTAGATAATGTTAGACTTATCATCACATTTATTCATTTGATTCATTTTGTTTTTTTTCTTTATTCAATTAATACATTCTTTTTATTACATCATTTCATTTTTAGTTATTTACCAATAATTTGGTACCTACATGATCAAAATAATCTGTGGCAGTGTTTTAAGTTTTTTGTTTTACTTTTATATTACCGGAATAATCCATTGTGCTTCGCCCAAATTAGAATACATTAGAGGAGGCGGGTATGAAAATACACTAAAATATATTTAATGGTGTATATGAAAATAGGCCATATATCAGCGATTTAGTTGGCATAAAGTGGCGTTATACCTAATCGTATGCATTTTTACGTGGTAGAGCCATGCTGAAGCTATATTAATAGTATAGTTGTAGCACAAATGGGTCAGCTTGAAAAGGACTTTGAGAAAGGACCACGCTCTCATAGAATACCAGCGTAAAATAGCAGCTTAATGCTGCTGTGTTTCGTATGGTGAGTGTAGAGAACCGGAGACCCATTTTACTGGAAAAGAGGCATTCTATCTGAGTCCTCACGGCTGACAACGCATCTGCATTTTAATTCGCAAACGAAGATAGATGTAGATGTCTATCGACCACAGCAACCACTTACCATCAGGTGGACTGTGTGCTCGTTCGTCACCCTTATTCTATAAAAAGAAAGTACGTGATAAATACACGAAAGAAAAAACGTAGTGGTAGATAATTTAATATACGTAATTTAAGTTTTTTTTTTCAATTTATTTATTCATACAAAGGTAAGTACATTATTTTTACTATTCTCTCGCCCAACTGCAATCAGTTTGTCGGCGAGTACACGCTCTTAAAACTTTTTTTTTTTTATAGGAGAGGGGGCAAACGAGCATGCGGCTCATCTGATGGTAAGTGACTACCGCCGCCCATGAACAACCGCAACACCAGGGGAATTGCAGATGCGTTGCCGGCCTTTTAAAAAGGAGTAGGCTCTTTTCTTGAAGGTCCCTAAGTCGTATCGGTCCGGAAAAATCGCTGGTGGTAAACTATTCCACAAGGAAGTTGTGCGAGGAAGAAAACATCTTCTAAATCGCACAGTGGTGGACCGCCAATCATCCATCATTATTATGCACTATCACCCATACAAATACAATTAATTATAATAAACAAAAGAAAATAAAAGATAGTTATATCAAAGTTACCTACTACAATTTCATAATATTTAGAAATTATAAAACTAAAAAAAAATAATGAAAAAATATACAACACAAACAATAAGCAAATCAATTAAATATAAAAAGCGATTAATAAAAGTATGCAACAATATGTAATGTGTTATAGCTCTGTTAATAATGTCCTTTTCAGAGAGGATTTTAATAAGTTTTTGCTTAATTTATTTTTATTTGGAGGCGTTTCTCTTAACCATTTTATTTTGTTATAGATTCTGGGTACAATGTATTTATTCAAGCGTTGTCCGCAATAGTTATTTGCACTAGGCTCTTCAAGTTTTTTTTCCCTTACCTTACGCGTGTTGCAAGTGTTAATAATTGGTACTTTATAGTCGTCAGTATAGTAATGTTCAATTGCTATTAAATATTTTAGCCGTGTATCAACAGGGAGTATTTTACACATGGGATATAATTTTTCATATTGTTTTTTACAACTCTTATCTTTTGAATTAATTAAAAATTTTATAATACGTATTTGTAGGCTTTTCACTTGTTTTATATAGGTACTAAATGTACGGCCATAAATAATAATACCATAGTTAATTAAAGACTCAACTAATGCATAGTAAACCACTAATAGAACATGTTTACTTACTACTTTTCGAATTTGATAGAATTTACCTAAAATGGACTGTAATTTTGAACATACTTCTTCAATGTGTAATTTCCAATTAAAACTGCTATCTACCAACAATCCTAAATATTTGTAACTATTAACAAACTCTATTTTGGCACATTGACATGGTAATTTTCTCCTATGCAAGCACTCATAGTCATGCCCTACAAGACCTATTTCTTCATAGCGTACATTCTTAGCTAGCCTGTTGTATGGAGAATGTATATGCATACACTTTGTTTTTTTCAAATTCAGTATTATGCAGTTATCATGTGCCCATTGGGTAATCCGATCAAAGTCTTCCTGTATTTTACCACAAGGTTCATGTATGTTTTTGGAAGCATACAATAGGCACATGTCATCGGCGTACATGTAGGTATCGCAGTGATGCACTACATTTACCACACTATTCACCAGTATAACGTACCCTACGGGGCCGTACTCAGAACCGGTTGGTACACCGAGAGCGATATCTTCTTCAGCGCCAGTCGTCCCACTCACCATAGTGCGAATAGTCCGATTTGATTGATAATTACGGAACCATTCATTTACTGGGCCCCGAATTCCACATTCCCCCATAGCCCCCAGAAGTACCTCATGGTCCAGAGTATCAAATGCCTTCTTATAGTCTATGAAAAGAGCCACAACCTGTTTACCATTAATAAGACTGCAGTTAATTGCTTCCGAAAACTTAGTTAACGCAGTACTAGTACTCCGTCGTCTCCCAAAAACCATGTTGACAATCAGTAATAATGTTAAATTTCTCTAAGAATCTATTCACTCTTGTATGACTACCTTTTCTACAATTTTATTTATTACTGGAAGAATAGCAATTGGTCTGTAATTTGTCTATTCATAATGGCTGCCACCTTTATAAATAGGTCTTATTATGGATTTCTTTAATTCATCTGGATAAATACTTTTTTTTAAACACAAATTGATAAAATTTGCTAAAATTGGACTTATTTCATTTTTTATATACTTTAAATCTTTAACTCTAATTTTATCTACCCCTGGTGACTTTCGTTCTGACAATTTATTTATAATTTCTTTTATTTCTGACGAGTTTACTTTTACAAACCTGAAAGATACTTCGCTCGATTTAACATAACTATTTCTATTTAGGAAATTAGTGCTACATCTATGTTTTATACAGTCTATTTCTTTAGTGAAGGTTTTTGAAAATTCACTATATATATTGTATATATTATCCCTTTTACCGAGATATTTCAAGATAACGCTATCTAGATTAGGCTTAGGGCGTCCTATCCCCGTATTGATATTTTCCCATATTTTTCTAAAATCCCCGTTACAATTATTTATTTCCTTTTGCCTATACCTATTTTTAGCACTATTAATCAATTTGTTCACCTTATTCCTAAATTAAGTGTACTCTAACCTTTTGGTCATATTGTTAGGCGATGCTTTCCACTCTCGAAATAGCATATCTCGCTTTAATAATTTATCATATAGTTCTTTATTTTTACCACAAATGCGTTTTTACACGCGAACTCTATGGTGAAATGCCTCAAATTCAGTTATTTTATAAACTCATTTACCCTTCAAATGTAAATACAAGTGTTTTGCTGCTTAGTAGCAGTAATATAGGTTGGTACGAATCCAGGCTAACTCCTAGCTAGAAAAGAAGCTTATGAATTTGGACTTTATTAAGTGGTATTAAAGTCTAATTTAGAAAACAAATTAATATTAATAATTGGCCGTCTCCTGTGTTTAAGTGAAAGTTTAATTGAGCGATAATTAGCCGCAGTGGTCTTGTATAGGTTGGTTATTTATTTAACTTCAGTTTTATTTGTTAACTTCAGTACCGTTACTGTTACAGCCTATCAAAGTCCACTGCTGAACATAGTCCTCCCCCGTAGATTGCCTCATAGGGGGAATATTTGTCATAGTTGCCACGCTTGGCAGGCGGGTTGGCAACCGCATTTAATTTATTTTAGTCGTTATTAGGGAGACTCTGGTGCCCATCTCCTGATTTGTTTCCCTCTGTCGCTTCTTACGATACCTTAGGGATGATATGGGATAGTGGATATTCTTACTCCGCCACTACACTGTAATTCAGTATTAAGCTGGAATTAACTATTAAACAACCGGATAAGTGCGAGTCGGGCTCGCGCATGAAGGGTTCCGTATCATCGTAAAGTACGTTCCTAGTAAGAGAGCCCTCTTTAATTTTTAATATTTATTATTTGTTATAGCGGCAACAGAAATACACATTTTGTAAAAATCTGCTTCATCATCATTCCGTAAAAGTACACTGCTGGACATGGGCCTGCCCTGTTGTAAGGAGGATCGTCTTTAATGCTGGGCAGCTGAATAGACGACCACAGTACCAGACGTCTCGCACTTTTGACCCTGCTGCCGTATTTTCCGTTAAACGTAATCGAGGTGGTTGTTATGCCGCAATCAATCGATTTGAAAAAATAGATTGCCTTTTATAGTATTTTGCCATAGTTGCCACGCTTGGCAGGCAGGTCGGTAACCGCAGTTTTTTTATTTTCAGTTGTTATTAGGAAAATGCTGCCGCTCATCTCCTGTTTCAATTTCTCTCTGTTGCCTCTTACCACTCCCACGGGATCAAGCCCCATATTTCGTACGCCGCTACTATACAGCGTGTCGTACACTCATTATGGTTATTCGGCTATAAATACTTACTTCAAATTTTATTGTTCACAGCCCGATTTGCAGTTGATTCCGTACACGATAAGCGGACCCGTTGCCACACCTCCTATCAAGAATTACGACTCACCAGACGGCGAATACGTGGACGTGTCCAAAAAGTGGGATAATTAGTTTAGTATTATTTAATAAGCAGAATATTAGATCGTCATTAAAATATAAATTGTACATTTTAACCGTTTCTTTCATTTCTATCACTAGCGACACTCACATCCGGAATTTCTTACTGTTGAATAAAGTGATTATTGCGTGGTACTAAAAAACTACTTATAATATGTGTGAGATGTCATCATTTTTCCAGCACTGTCATTCTGTAACTTGGGTGAAAATCGTTTACAGGTTAAAATCACTTCGCAGCTGTGACTGTGACAAAAATATAAACTTGAACTTTTTTGTATATAAGGGGGCTATGAGCATACGGCTCACCTGATAGTAAGTGACTAAGACCGCCTATGAACTACTGCAACACCAGGGAAATTTCAGGTGCGTTGCGTGGCTTTTTTAAAAATATTTTCTCTTTTCTTGAAGGTCCCTAAGTCGAATCGGTCCGGAAAAGCTATTATTATTATATATAATATTATTAAACTATTATTATATATAATATTATTGCCATAATTAACTGTATTCCCGATTTTATTATAGAAGAGCACGCTCATTCTCACGAATGACCTTCGGACCTTTTAGAGGCGGAGCGAGGGAGTCGCGAGCTTATTGCGGCTTTTAGTTTGTCTATCATGCAAATATTATCTTACGAAAATGATATTGATAGAAATATAATTTTATAAGCTTAGGTTAGACACCGGAATCCACGGGTAAGATTAGAAATGTCAATGACAAGTGACAACTTTTTTTATTACTAAGTAACATTTATTATCGTGGTAGATCAACGTTGCAGCTATATTAGCTGTAGCGTGTATTAGTCGGCCCACCCGAGGCGGGACCACGTTTTATGGTGAGTGTTGAGATCCGGAAAACCTTTTTACTGGAAACGAGGCATTCTATCTTAGTCCTCAGGGTTTGCAACCTATCTGCATGTTGATTATTAAACGAGGATAAATTAAGATGTCTATGAGCCACAACATCCACTTACCATCAGGTGGACTGTGCTCGTTAGTCGTCACCTTTATTCTATAAAAAAAAAAAACGTAAGTAACGGCATCTTTGGATACATTAATAAATATTTATTTGTTGCGTTCAAATTATGAACCAAGTACGACCGGTTATTTTTGCGTCCGACAACAGCAAAAAAATTGAAAAGGTAAGATACCGCAGCCAGTTTAGGAACTTTATCACTAGTTCTTGAATCAGTCCGATTTTTGAATCTATTTATCGGATCGATATAGTGTTCCAAATCGATGTAAAATCGATTATTCTACTCTAAATAATCGATTTCATATCGACATGCCAACTTCGAAGACCGACTGTTAGTAGTAGTTTGACTGTGCTTTATCATACCTTACAAACTTTCACGTTTATAACATTAAAAAAAAAATATAGTAGGATATAAAAGGACGCCAAAAGAATTACTCGCCCGGGGTGTTCAGATCGTTAGGACCGGTCCTGGGTGTAGTCACGAAAATGTAATGTATGTACACAAAAGCAAAAATAGTTATTATATTCTATAAATACTAGGTTCCATTTGTGCAATGTACTCGGCTCCCAAGAGTTAGTAATTCCATCCACACACAGACACACGCGCATACATTCTTTCCTCTTACTCCAGCCGTGGGGCGTTACATAAAGTACGTAACTGAAGCTTCTGGTATTGCAATTGGAGAGGAAAATCCAAAGGGTTTTATCAAGGCCAGGCTGTCATCATGTCAGATTCAAAGTCAGTTAGTATAGTAGTCAGTCAGTTTTTCAAATATAAAACGCGATTTTTTTTCACCATTTTTTTTTCTTGAATATAAATTGCATTATTATTGCTAAATTCATGTATTTTTTTTATTTTAGAGGTTCTGGGGCACCATGGAATTCCAATTTTTATACCTTTTTGTATTATTACATAAAATATAGGCTTCAACGATATACAAAACAGTATTCCAATAAATTTTTAAGAGTTATACATATCGGAATGGGGTTGTAAAAAATGTACGAACTTAGGTAGTTATATGTATTTTTTTTAAATTCCATAACGCTGGAGCACCTCAAACAACTATAATTTGTAATACATAAAAGATATTTAACATACTTCATTGTCTAATCCATATGCAGCTTTTTACCACAATGCTATTACAAATTAACTAAAATAAATTAATCTCCATACATTTTTACTCCAAACTAATGTGTATACTATTATTTTAACTTAATTATGTAAAATCTCTAAAATATATAAAAGTCAATTGCTGTCCGTTAGGTCTCACTAAAACTCAAAAAATCAATCTTAAAATTTTTTTGTGTGTTTTAATGGGTTCATAGATGGTTTAGAGTCACATTTGGACCCGATAGGTGGCGCTGATATCGAGATCCAGAAATCACCTGTGGGAAGCCGGGGCGGATAGCTAGTATAAAATAAAAGGAGAATGTCGTAAAGAAGTTTTACTTCGTACGTGTGTATACAATTACACGCTTTATTTTTTACCCTTTTGAGAGAATTAAGGAATATCACAAGTTCAAAGTATGTTCAAACGGGAATTACATTTTTAATAAAATAATAAATTTATGTCCCTTTCAAAAGATTTGAAAAAAATTTGAAAGGGACGAAGAGAGAACGAAGTGTGAAATATGGGTAAATCAGGAATGTCTAGAACAAGTAAATGAAATTGTATACTTGGGGAGTGCTTTTAGCCGGGATGGAAGATGTGATTTAGATGTGGACAGGCGTGTCGCTGCCGGGAACAAAGTCAATTGTGCCCTGACTGCGTTAGTCAAAAGGCAAGGCGTAGTGAAGAGTGCATGCCTTGCAATACATAACGCAGTGTTGGTACCGACTTTGTTATATGGCAGCGAAACCTGGGTATGCCAGAAGAAGCATAAAAGCAAGTTGAATGCAGTGGAGATGTGATCTCTTCGTAAAATGTGCGGCGTTACCATGGCCGACCGAAAGCGAAACGAAGAGATTCGCAATATGGCAGGTTTGAAAGATGACCTTATCACAAAAATTGATAAGGGCGTGCTTCGGTGGTTTGGGCACGTTGAGCGAATGAGTGAAGACCGAATGGTGAAGAAAATATATAGCGCGAAAGTTAATATTAAAAGGTGTCGAGGTAGACCGAGACTAACTTTCGAAGACCATGTGAGCAAATTGCTCGAAGAGGGTAGGGTCAAGAGTACTCGGATACCTAGACGTGCATGTATGAAGAAGATAATGAATCTGAAAGAAGCGAAAGAGGTATGTAAGGATCGTGACACTTGGCGATCTGTTCTCTCTGGCTACCCCGTCAGGGATTGTGCGTGAAGATAAGTAAGTAAGTATAAATTTATGTACCACACATCATAGTATTGTATTATACACGACTAAATCTCTTCGTAAGAAGTAATTCAATCAATTTTATTAAGTTCATCTGCAACAAGCTTAACATGTGCCTGATCATTATTATTATCTTTACTGTAAGATTTGATCATAAAGCCATTCGACAGTGAAATTGATTTTCATGCTTGATTAGACACAAAAATACTTACACATACATTTTGTTCACTAGTGAAAACCGTTTTATTATTTTATACAAATGTAGCTTGCGTAAATATGTCGTATGCAATCCATGAAAATGATATATGACGTAGTAACTAGAAAGTAAGTAATAACTAAAGACGGTTATATATTTTATTCGGTTGCATTTTAATATTTTATAAATATTTTGCAGTGCGCATGTTTTTGTTTATACTACAAATACTAATCATTACTAATCTTGTAACGTATGCTATGTGGCCTGATCCTTTAAAAGACGAAGTTGTCTATATAAATAATCCTATTGAAGCAGGGTTTCCTGGTCACTGGATGCCTCTAAGCGTCATCAAGAGAATTATAGAAATGCGTGTAAAGCCAACGGTTTCGTTCCCACTAATAAACGTGAGAAATAAAGTCACACATAAAATGAAGAAACCAAATGTTTTTAAGAAACGTGTAATAAAAACTAAAGTCACTACTAAACAAAACAAAAACTCACGGATTAAGAGCCACTTAAATATAAAAGATAAATTGTACATTACATCAGGAAACACACAATTATTCGCCACTCAAGCTATAAAACCCTCTCTAAAAAAGTTAAATTTTATTAAAGAAGATAAAAAAGCCATTCATCAAGGTTTGCAATCTACACAAATTAGCCTTATAAAAACTAAATATAGGCCGCCTGTAAAATTAACTGTCAAAAGAGAAACAAAGCCAAACAAATCCACTACTTCTATCGTCAATGACAAAGATACTGTAAGTGTCACCGAAAGCTATCAGAAGGAAAGAACTTCTAAGAATGTTCCTCCAACGGTTCACGACCAAACTATTGCGTCTACAATAGTAATGAATCTCAAAGATAATGGAAACGTAAATGTTACAACACACATCGTTTTGTTAAAATTGATCAAAAATTTTACTAAAGAAGATAAAAAAGCCATTCATCAAGGTTTACAATCTACACAAATTAGCTTTATAGAAACTAAAGATACGACTCCAGTAAAATTAACTGTCAACGATGAAACAAAGCCAAACAAATCAACTACATCGATTATCAATGACAAAGATATTGTAAGTGCCGCTGAAAGCTATCCGAAGGGTAGAATTTCTAAGAATATTACTCCGACGGTTCAGGACCAAACTACTACGTCTACAATAGTAATGAACCTTAAAGATAAGGGAAATGTAAATGTTACATCACATAATGCGAGCACAGTCGTTTTGTTAAAATTAACCAAAAATTTTACTACAGAAAATAAAAAAGCCATTCATCAAAGTTTACAATCTACGCAAATTAGCTTTATAGAAACTAAAGATAAGACTCCAGTAAAATTAACTGTCAACAGTGAAACAAAGCCAAACAAATCAACTACATCGATTATCAATGACAAAGATATTGTAAGTGCCGCTGAAATCTATCCGAAGGATATAATTTTTAAGAATGATACTACGATGGCTCAGAACCAAATTATTACGTCTCCAATAGTAATGAAGCTCAAAGATA